GTTGGTGTAATTAAGAATACTCGAACCCAAACATTACACAAAAAAAATCGAGTCCTTACCCCCCCGCCCTCCACCGCGTGCTCTTGACAGGTACTCGACTCTGTAAAGGTATCGATAGGAAGCATCCAGAGGATAGGATTATTCACTTCTAGGACCACAGTGGAAATTGATGATTCACTCTTATTTGCAAAGATTTTTTTTACAAAATCTAACTAGAAGCAAAAAAGTTAATTGGTTCCATTGTAACTTTGATAAATTTATGGTACTGAAAAATATTTTTTTGATATCAAACTGCCAGAAAACTTCAAAAAATATTACAACTTCACTCAAAAATAATTTAATTATATATTATATTTTATTATAAATTAACCTCAAAAATTATATCTTGAAATAGAAAAATATATAATAAACTCCGACCTAATCAAACCCTTATCTCTACATAATTTTTTCTTGAACTGGAGGACGTTGGTAATCAATTTGGGTGGATGGCAACATGGAGACAACAAGCGTGACCTCCGCCTGATCCCTCATCCCTCATCCCTCGATGCTATCCCCTCCAAACTTCGCAAAATAATGGTTGTCACAGTCTCTCTCCCTGTGTTGATAAGTGTGTGTATGTGTCTGGGTGGGGCGTATATGTCTAATTGTTTTGAGGGTATTCGTAGTATAAGTGTGTTTATATATGCAAGGCAAATGAGTCGTTGAATCCAACCAGGGGCATCCTAACTTTGGTGAAATCTTTGGGACCAAGGCCCATGCGTTTCAAGACTTCGAGGTACATCACCTCCAAGGAACTCCCAGAGTCTACCAAGACCCTTTTGACATTAAAACCACCAATCTTCAGAGTTAGGATCAAGGCGTCCTTATATATGAGGACCACTCATACCAAGTCGATATTGGAGAAAGTGATACCTTCCTCATCTGTCCGAGACCTCTTGCTGGGCTGGCCCCTATATCTTTCATCCACCTTCCTTGCAAAGGCTACCCTTTTATGGTCGGACCTGAGATTATTGGTCGTCGGTCGATCTAGTGGGTAGACGTGGATGATGTCAATGACATTGTCACGGACAGTGGCTTGGTTATTGGCACCATGGGTTTCCACTAGCGCTGCTTCCTTGATGTATTCCTTCAGGTGTCCTTCTTGTACCAACTTCTTCTGGAAGGACTTGTAGACTCTACAATCTTCAGTAAGGTGTCTCACGTCTTGGTGGTATGAACATCTTACCATCTTGTTCCTGGTGGATGGATCGCCCTGCATCTTAGGTGGCCACTTGAAAAAAGATTCCTTCCTAATCTTGTGCAGCAATTTGTAAATGAGCTCCTTAAACACAATATGAACCCCTTTGAACGAACTTCCTAATAGAGGCACTAATCCCTTCTGGGAAGGGGCCCTCTCTTTCACATTTGCCTTCTTTTTTGAAGCCTGAGATTTCCCCTTGCCCCCTACCATTTCATCTTTTATTCGGGAGTACTTGTTGATTCGGGTCATCAGCTCGCTCATATCCATTGACGTTTTCTTTGCTAAAGACCTACAAAGGTCGGTGTCTCGTGAGAGGCCAAGTCTGCAGGAGGTCACTGCCATGACCTCAGAGCATCCCTCCACCTCATTCACTTCCTCCCAGTAACGAGTGGCGTAATAGCAGAGTGTTTCACCCTCTTTCTGTCTCAGGGTCAGCAGTGGCCCAACATCCTTAGGGCGATTGCTCCTTGTAATGAATCAGGTAGAGAATTGTCTGGTTAGCTCCTTTCAAGACTCTATGCTATTGGGTGGAAGGGTTTCAAACCATTTCATGGTAGTGTCTCCCAGACTCATTGAGAACACTAAGCATAACAGTCAGTGATCTAAGTGATATAAGGACATCATCTGTTTATATTGCCTGAAGTAAGCCTCAGGGTCAGAACGTCCATCATAAACTTTAAATCTTGGTACCACAAAACTTCTTTGGCACCTCTATTTCCACAATACCCTTAATGAAGGGTGACAGAATACCTTCGTCATCCGTGTCATCCTCTAGGATAGTCTTATCCCTTCTCATGGACTCTAACTATACCCTGAAGTCTCCCCCCGGCTTGGGACGCATCCCTCCACCTCCTCGGCATCGATCATCATGCCATCCAGTTCCTGCATTCCTCACGGAGAAGGTTGACCCTTCCTCGAACTCNCTTGGGACGCATCCCTCCACCTCCTCGGCATCGATCATCGTGCCATCCAGTTCCTGCATTCCTCACGGAGAAAGTTGACCCTTCCTCGAACTCCTCCATGTCCCCTCGCCTAGACTGTTTTCGACGAAGGTCATTCCAAGCCAAAGATCTAGTTTTCTTAACTGGGACCTCCAGGCACTATCCACTGGCCCTCGGTCACTTCGGAGCCTTGGAGCTCCCTGTTCTGCCACTCAGGCATTTCCTCAAATCTTCTGCTCCCACCTCCTTGGCGGAGGGTTCCCGCGACTGCCGTAAGTCTTGAGATCCCCCACCAGAAAGTGCAAGTCTGTCGAGTTGATTTAGAACATTCTCATTGTCCTCCTCTAATTGTCTTAGTCGATCCCAAAACTATTGTTCAATCACATCAGCAAGTTGACGGGCTAAGGGGGTACCCCTTCCAACCCCGATACTCAGACTAGTTTGGCTGGTTTTCTCCCTGGAATGAATGAAAAATTTCTTGTTGACACTTTCAACGTGATCCTCCATCCTCGACATGAAGGGATCCGTAAATCAATATTCCTTTGCTGAGGACCTTTTTTCTTTTGATGAGTATTCACCATAGTCACTATTTTTAGGAAATTTGGTCATTTTTCACATACGACGCCAAACTGTGCGCGGTGATTTTCGTAGAATAAATAAAAAAATCAACTCTCTCCTTAAGAGAACTCGCATTTACCTCAAGAGTCAACGATCCTGTGGCAAAAGGAGACCAAAGATGGCCTAAGGAGTGGTGATGAATTACTTTCAAGACTGTTCAATCGATTCCGGTGGGTTAAAGGCAATTCTTGGCACTCAAAAAATGGGTTAGAAGAGTGCTAGAGTGTTTTTCGTCGTATCCTCTTTGACGGTTAAGTTAGTTCGTGAGAGAGGGAAAGGAAAAAACACTATTTTTGTATTCTGGAGTGAGTTTGTGTACGTTTGTCTTCACTTTTTTGCAATNTGTATTCTGGAGTGAGTTTGTGTACGTCTGTCTTCACTTTTTTGCAATTATTTATACCTTCATGGGGTCATCATTATTGACAGGTGGGTCATGTCAAGAGGAGATCCCCTATTGGTCCACTTGGGAGACAGTAAGTAGCGCGCAGTCATTGGACAGAACACCTCCTATTTTGCATGGGGGAGACCCTATTATTAAATGATCTAACACTCAAAAGATGGGTTAGAAGGGTGTCAAAGTGTTTTCTGGCATATCCCTTCTGACGGTCAAGTTAGTTCGTGAGAGAGAGGAAGGAAAAAACATTATTTTGTATTCTGGATTGAGTTTGCGTATCTTTGTCTTTAATTTTTTGCAACTATTTATACCTTTATAGAGTCATCATTATTGATAGGTGGGTCATGTCAAGAGGAGGTCCCCCATTGGTCCATTTATTCATTGAGACCTTATCACTCAACTTATTTGTCATGTCAGATAATTAAATTTACCTACAGGGTTTCACATGGACAAAACTTATGAGCTTCTTTAAGAAGACATCATCAACCCATTTAAATACTAGGATGCAGTTTCTTTTAATATTTAATTTTCACCATACAAATAACATCGTCTCCCAATTCATCGAGCTTATTGACCTAATATAAATCTCACTTTTTGATGAATTAAAGTGACAAACATTATATGCACGTGGTAATTAAATATTTAGGGAGTAAGAGCATAAACAATGATAATAATCATGAGGTATTCATTATCTTATTAAATCAGTAAAAGATAATAACTTTAACACGGGTCTGTTCAATACACAAAGTGTACTAGTGCAATAATTCAAGACATCAAACAATCTCCTACAGTCAAGACAGACTATGCTAAAATATTACACTACAATCATATCGATGACGTGTCCAATTCCATCTACGATTGTGAACATATACTCATATTATAAAAAGATTCGATAATCTGGTCTTTTGTGCATAGGTTAAACTCTACATACCAGATTATTTTTCGAGTCATAATACTGACCCAGTATGAGCAGTCATTGTTATGCCTTCTATATGGTACTAAGTAATATCACCTACCCGGTGGTATTATATTTTTGGTACAAATAAAATGGAGGTATAAGAGAATAAAATGACACAAATGTCCTCTTATGTGAAGAGTTCACATATAAATAATTTATTTTGAATTTTTTCTTTATATTATATTTAAGCATACAATGTCACCATTTTTTTTTAATTTTTTTAAAAAAAATTATTTTAAATTTTTTTCTTATATTATGTTTAAGTGTACGGTATTAACACCTTTTTTTAAAAAAAAATTATTTTAAATTTTTTCTTTTTATTATGTTTAAGTGTATGGTGTTAAAGATTTTTTTTTTAAAAAATTATTTTTAATTTTTTGCCTTTATTATGTTTAAGCGTATGGTGTTAACGGTTTTTTTTTAAAAATTTTTTCCTTGTATTATATTTAAGTGTATGGTATTAACAGTTTTTTTTTAGTTTTTTTAAAAAAAATTATTTTGAATTTTTTTTTGTATTATGTTTAAGTGTACGATGTTACCGGTTTTTTTTAAAAAAAAAGTTAAAAAAAAATTATTTTGAATTATTTTCTTGTATTATGTTTAAGTATACAGTATCACCGATTTTTTTAAAAAATATTATTTTGAATGGAATGAATGATTTTAAGGATTGAATGATGTTAAGGGTAAAATGATAAATTTGTTATATAAGATGTGATAAAATAAATGGTTGTTTGTGGGACCTACCATAGTTCCTATTGAACAAATTTTTGGACTCATGTTGAGAACTAGTTAACCTAGCCCCTAATTTCTTGTTGAGTTCATGATGTGTAGAAAATTGTAAACACCTAACTAGAAGATGAATGGGTAAATGATATCACATACATGGAATGCTATAAACTTGAATGGTGACTCGGATTGGAAAAACCCGTTGTTGAGCCATCTCTCGGGTCGAAAATCGTGGGCATCATCTCCCCAAATGTCAGACAACTTGCCCATTGCATAGGACATATAGTAGATAACATCCCCTTTCTTCAGTCTAAAACCATCAGGAAGAATGCCATCTTTTTCTGCAATCCTCCCATCCTGAATATACCCCAAAAGACAACAAAATCAATTACAATCCTATAAAAAATTTGTAAATGATCGAATTTTATTCAGCTCATAGCTAAATACAAGTGAATTCAACTNAACAAAATCAATTACAATCCTATAAAAAGTTTGTAAATGATCGAATTTTATTCAGCTCATAGCTAAATACAAGTGAATTCAACTCAACTCGAATTGTTAATAATTCTAACTTTATTGTAAACGACCTTATTCAAAACATTAAAAATTCCAAACATATCCCTCAATAGTTTTCACTTTACATACATTTCCCTTTCATTTAAGAGTGTTAATCGAAACGAGTTACTCGGGCTCAGTTCAAATAAAACTCAACTCGAGCTCGAGTTCGTATTCTAAACAAATTGAGATTGAACAATTTTTTAAACTTATTTATATGTAAAAAATAGTCGAGCTACTTGGGCTCGGGCTCAATCTCGCAAAATTTGGCTCGATTAACACCCTCACTTCCATTCCCTTCTCTTACGATTTTTTTGGGTGAAAATTTTTAATTTTTTGGCNGGGCTCGGGCTCAATCTCGCAAAATTTGGCTCGATTAACACCCTCACTTCCATTCCCTTCTCTTACGATTTTTTTGGGTGAAAATTTTTAATTTTTTGGCTGGTTTTATGGATTTTGGGGGAATCTTGTTGAGAAGTTCAACTTTTTTAGGATAATTTCATAAGTTCTAAGGTAGAATTTTTTAAAATTCTTGATAAAAAATTGAGTTCGATTTTGACTCAATCTCAACTAGTCACAACCAAGTCGACCTTGAACATACTTAAGCGATTGACACCTTAACATAAATTGAAAAGAAAAAAGAAAATTCTCTTTAGGTTCTTGAAATAATTTACCACTGNGCTGGTTTTATGGATTTTGGGGGAATCTTGTTGAGAAGTTCAACTTTTTTAGGATAACTTCATAAGTTCTAAGGTAGAATTTTTTAAAATTCTTGCTAAAAAATTGAGTTCGATTTTGACTCAATCTCAACTAGTCACAACCAAGTCGACCTTGAACACACTTAAGCAATTAACACCTTAACATAAATTGAAAAGAAAAAAGAAAATTCTCTTTAGGTTCTTGAGATAATTTTACCACTAGGACTGTAGGGTATAGCCTTAGGGTCTCTGTCAATGTTGCATGAAGGTAATGCATCTTCTCAAGAATTTCATCATTCAACTTTGTCACAATATCCTCAATGCTACTAGTACCACCTTCATTGCCTACCTGATTACTGAAAACTTTGATTATTTCTCGCGCTATTCATTCCTGTATAATCGGGTTCTTGNATCATTCAACTTTGTCACAATATCCTCAATGCTACTAGTACCACCTTCATTGCCTACTTGATTACTGAAAACCTTGATTATTTCTCGCGCTATTCATTCCTGTATAATCGAGTTCTTTNGTACCACCTTCATTGCCTACCTGATTACTGAAAACTTTGATTATTTCTCGCGCTATTCATTCCTGTATAATCGGGTTCTTGCAAAGCATATAAAAAAACCATGAAAGTGTGCTTGTTGTAGTATCTTTGCCAACAATCATAAAGTTCAGAATTATATCCCTTAGGTAGTGATCTTTCATCTTCTCAGGGTCTTTCTTTCTTTCCATCAGAAACCTTGAAAGTATGTCTTCCTTGTCATTTTGTTAAAAAAATGAAAAACCAGTGAACATGTCAACACATGTTATGTAACCCAATTTTAACCCGAACTTTGTAATCTAAGTACAAAAAATATAAACTTTTGCAATACTCAGATTCAAAGGTATAAGTTCGGGCTGAAACTCAAAATGGTTGTTTTGTAGATTTGGATGGAGCCCATGTTGACTTTTCAACCTGCCCAAGTTACGCCCCTATGTTGCATAAAAAACAATCAACCAAATGATTGCTCTGATGATAGTTTTCTGCCTTCATCTTCCATGAAAAAAAGGTTGATATGTTCCAATGTTTGCAACAGTTCATGGCTAATCACAAATTTAAGCAAATACTCACGCAATTTTGTTGCATTTCGAGTTGTTCCCTCTTGGTTCTGATTAATTTATCGACAAGATCGAAGATGATTTTGATGTTCTTCTTGAGGGAAGCTTCAGAGCCAATGTTTAAGAACATATTTAGCTTCCAAAATGGATCAACATATCGGCAATAGATTAACGCATTTGAATCATCAAAGGCCTTGATGAATAAGCTTCCCTCTTTGTTTGATCCTTCCAAACAATTCAAATCTACTCCAAATCCGACTCTGAAAATTGAGTTCAAAGTGCATCTCATTAGCAAATCTTGCAAGATGTAGAGCATATCAGTCTTTGTTAACAGAAGAGTCATATTATAATATGTCATATACATTAAAGTTTTTTGAGGATACAAAATAAAAAACTTTTAAGTCCTTCGGCGTATAAAGTGCGAAAAACCTAAAAAATTAAGGGGGCTAAAGATTTATAGAGTTGTTTAGGGACCTGGAGAGTTGTAGGTTCTCGATTTTGGGGTGTTCAATATTACTGAAACTCTACTCTATTCCCTAGGCGCTCCGCTCTATGCCCAAAGTTTCAACTCAATCACTCAGACAGAGGGATTTGGCTCATCAAGTGTCTCAACAACAAAATCATGACGATAGACACGAAATACTAAGTCAAGGAGTTAATTGTCAATTAGAGCATTCTCCCACAAAGAGTATCCTAGCTTAGCGATTTCCAATGGGGCTTCATAAGCCTCACCTTTAACAAGACCAAGATCATGAAATTTCAATTTTGAGCCAGTAGGAAACTTTTGATTACCTTGAAAAAGGTTGTTCCATTTGAGTTNAAGATCATGAAATTTCAATTTTGAGCCAGTAGGAAACTTTTGATTACCTTGAAAAAGATTGTTCCATTTGAGTAATAGCACACTGTCCATTTTGACTCAACACCGAATCAGTAACCGGAAGATTTATTGCTCCATTGAGGGAATCAACACCATCGTGTTTCTCGTTCACCCCAGCTTGAGTGAAAAATCTAAATTTGCATTTGGGGAGGTAGCCATGCTAGTTGCTTTGGCCATTAACACTTCATCTTGGTGTTCAATCGGGTTTGAATCATTGGAATCTCCCTTTTGGAGGGGATGAAGTTGAAGCTCCCGATGCAACTTTATTTGCATCTGGTTCCTTATTCTTTTCAACTTTTTTAATATGTTGCTCAACATTCTCCAGCTTATAGAGAAGCTCAAACTTTCCTTGGTTATTAATGAAATACTGCTTCTACTACAATAAGGATATCTGGAAAGAAGATATAATAAAAATACATATTAGTTCTTTTAAAATTTCTCTTAAGGCAATCTAAAATATATTAAACTGAAATGTAACTGACATATATAGAAACTTCAAAAGATTTATTGATTGCTAGACAATCTCAATAAATAGATGAATTTGACCAGATTTAGGATTAGCGTTAGTCACATAGCTTGTATCTTACGGTTGTATAACATTTACAAACATATATCAACTAATAAGTTAAAGCANTTTTAAAATTTCTCTTAAGGCAATCTAAAATATATTAAACTGAAATGTAACTGACATATATAGAAACTTCAAAAGATTTATTGATTGCTAGACAATCTCAATAAATAGATGAATTTGACCAGATTTAGGATTAGCGTTAGTCACACAGCTTGTATCTTACGGTTGTATAACATTTACAAACATATATCAACTAATAAGTTAAAGCGCGATAACTTTGAGAGATAACATGTCAATATCTTTGCATCAATTGTGTCAGATACACAATAGACAATTATAGTCGCATGAAAAAATACGGGTGCAGCTCGTCTGTTGTTCCTCACAGAACAACACCGTGTCCTGTTCTTTTAAACGGCGTCGTCCCACTAAAAAAGTCTCAGCTCACCATAAAAAAGCCCGCACAGTAAAAAAATTCCAATTTTTCAATACCCGCCAAATCCTTCAACACAGTAAACTATTCACCACCTCCTCTGCATACATAGACAACGACATCCTCTCTATACACACACATATATAATTGGATACAATTTTCTACACAAACAGACAACAAGGTTTGGTCTTCTATAATCCCACACACTAAATTCTTTGTAGGTTTGTCATTTTGNAACTATTCACCACCTCCTCTGCATACATAGACAACGACATCCTCTCTATACACACACTTATATAATTGGATACAATTTTCTACACAAACAGACAACAAGGTTTGGACTTCTATAATCCCACACACTAAATTCTTTGTAGGTTTGTCATTTTGTCAATTTTTTATTTTGCTTATTTTCATAGAATATTAGGATTTTATTTTGTGTGTGTGTATATATATATACTCTTACAATGCTATTTGATTCCTAAATTAATCCATTTAATATTATTTTGGTACAAATTTCAATATTGTTGTAATAGAAACTTGTTATGTGCCAACAAAATTTTGGTTGCTAATTGGTTTTGAAACCATTGTGAATGCACACAAAATATTGTATTTTTATATCAAATACATTACATTTTTTTAATCTAACCAAGCTATAATATTTTAGGATTTTGACTGTAATTCTTTTGTTTTGATCCCAGGTCTTCTAAACTATGATATAGTATACCATGACTAATGTACCTGTGAGCACTCCACGTATTGGTATGCACTTTGACTCAAAGGAAGATGGATATGTATTTTATAACAACTATGGTGGCTCGGATGGATTTAATGTGAGAAAAGATTATCACAACAAAAGTAAGAAAAATGGTATATTAATATATCAGAAATACGTTTGTTGCAAAGAAGGGCAAAAAAAATTGGATAAAAGAGATTGAAAAATAGTGAAACCTCGAGCATAGACACGTACAAATTANTGGATTTAATGTGAGAAAAGATTATCACAACAAAAGTAAGAAAAATGGTATATTAATATATCAGAAATACGTTTGTTGCAAAGAAGGGCAAAAAAACTTGGATAAAAGAGATTGAAAAATAGTGAAACCTCGAGCATAGACACGTACAAATTGTTCGGCTCACACGTGTGTTTCCCTTAATCGGGATATTGAAAAATTTGTTGTAGTCAAATTGGATGATATGCACAATTACCTTTTGCACCTTAGTGAATGTANATTGTTCGGCTCACACGTGTGTTTCCCTTAATCGGGATATTGAAAAATTTGTTGTAGTCAAATTGGATGATATGCACAATTACCCTTTGCACCTTAGTGAATGTATGCATATGATGTCATCTCAAAGGAAGGTTACTACAATGCAGGGCATTAATGTGGATATGACAGAGGATTGTGAGATATCAATCAAGGCATCATATGAACTTATGAGTACCCAAGCAGGTGGAAAGGAAAGTTTAAGATTCACTTGGCAAGACCAAAAGATTTACATCCGTGAAAGAAGGCAGCGAGAGTTGAAATATGGTGAAGCAAGTAGTTTGTTGAAATATTTCCAAACTGAAGCGGTTAAAAATCCATCCTTCTACTATGGAATTCAATTGGATGTCGATGAGAGAATCACAAATATTTTTTGGGTTGACCCAAAAATGATTATTGATTATGGCCACTTTGGGGATGTTGTCTCATTTGACACAATGTTCCGAAAAACTAAGGAGTATCGACCATTTGCATGTTTTGTTGGTTTCAACAATTTTAGGAAGACTGTGGTATTTGGCGTTGCATTGTTGTATGATAAAACGAAAACTTCATTTCAGTGGTTATTTGAGACATTCCTACAAGCAATGTTTGGGAAGAAGCTTATCACTATATTTATTGACCAAGATCAAGCAATGACCAATGCTATATCCCAAGTGATGCCAGAGACATATCACNCGGTTAAAAATCCATCCTTCTACTATGGAATTCAATTGGATGTCGATGAGAGAATCATAAATATTTTTTGGGTTGACCCAAAAATGATTATTGATTATGACCACTTTAGGGATGTTGTCTCATTTGACACAACGTTCCGAAAAACTAAGGAGTATCGACCATTTGCATGTTTTGTTGGTTTCAACAATTTTAGGAAGACTGTGGTATTTGGCGCTGCATTGTTGTATGATAAAACGACAACTTCATTTCAGTGGTTATTTGAGACATTCCCACAAGCAATGTTTGGGAAGAAGCTTATCACTATATTTATTGACCAAGATCAAGCAATGACCAATGTTATATCCCAAGTGATGCCAGAGACATATCATGAGTTATGTACTTGACATCTTTCTCAAAATGCTTTAAAGCATCTTGGAAATATATATAAGGATGGTTCAAACTTCGTTACCAAATTTAAAGAATGCATTTATGAATCCGATGAAGAACATGAACTAGTTGAAACTTGGAATTCTTTGCTTGATGAGTACAATTTGCAGGATATCAGTTGGATGAATTTGACCTGGGCTTTAAGGGAGAAATGGGCAAAGGTATATATGAAGAGAACTTTTACGGCAGATATGAGGAGCACCCAACTTAGTGAGAGTATGAATGCAGCATTACGAGGTTACTTACAACCGAACCTTGATATTGTTCANGAATTCTTTGCTTGATGAGTACAATTTGCAGGATATCAGTTGGATGAATTTGACCTGGGCTTTAAGGGAGAAATGGGCAAAGGTATATATGAAGAGAACTTTTACGGCAGATATGAAGAGCACCCAACTTAGTGAGAGTATGAATGCAGCATTACGAGGTTACTTACAACTGAACCTTGATATTGTTCGATTTTTCACTTATTTTAATAGGGTTGTAAATGATAAGAGATATCAAGAGTCGGAGTCAGAGTACCATGCTAGGCAAAAGTTGCTTAGATTAACGTTCAAAAAAACTCTCATGTTGGTGCAAGCAAGTCAATGTTATACTCCTCCTATATTTGAATTGTTTCAAGAAGAATATGACACATTCCAGTGCGCTATTATGCAGTCATGCGCTTAAGGTGTTGGACATGATGAATATTAAGCAAATTCCTGACCAATACATTATTAAGAAATGGAGACGAGATGTGAGGAATGTTCATGGACAAAATTCTTTTGTCACACAAAATGTGGGGGATCCCAAGTTGGTGATAACATCATGATATAGACAGTTATGTCCTAGAATGGTCAAGTTAGCATCTCGTTGTTCTTATCTTTAGCCTACATTTGAGTTGGTGTCTTGAGGTATTGATGCTTAGTTTGATCAAGTGGAGAATATGTTTTCATCACTTAATAACATGGGTGATAGGACCAATAAAGGCAATGCNCTGACCAATACATTATTAAGAAATGGAGACGAGATGTGAGGAATGTTCATGGACAAAATTCTTTTGTCACACAAAATGTGGGGGATCCCAAGTTGGTGATAACATCATGATATAGACAGTTATGTCCTACAATGGTGAAGTTAGCATCTCGTTGTTTTTATCTTTAGCCTACATTTGAGTTGGTGTCTTGAGGTATTGATGCTTAGTTTGATCAAGTGGAGAATATATTTTCATCACTTAATAACTTGGGTGATAGGACCAATAAAGGCAATGTGAGAAATGAAGGCATATAGAATATGGACCCTAATATTCTACGGGTGAGAGGTTTAAAAAGGAAAGTGGGCGACTAAAACCTTGGCATGAGATGCAAACGAAAAGGAAGAAAGTAGGTCCACAACCCTCTCATATGTCTAAGGGATTACACATTCAATATTTTATTTTATTTTACATTTGATGAAGATATGACAATATTGATTTTACATTTTATTTTACTTGTTTTTAAGGTATCAAAGCCAGGATGTCCACATCCATTGTCTTCTCAAGCATCCAACAATTCACAAAATACTTCAGTATCTTATATTCACATGGATTTTCTGTTACTTTTTCATGAATTGATTTTAATGTTTTATTAACATTTTTTCATTTTTTGTTTGTAGGGTATGTCATTTGATGCAACAACATTGCATTCATTTGATTTCGTGAATGAAAGCTTCTACGATTTTTTCAAGGATGCCTGAAGAACAAGAGTGGCAAGGTGGAAGGGCCTTTACTCTGTTTTCAGATTATTTAATCTTGTTTCTATAACTTTTGGTTTGGTTCAATTCCCAAGTTGTCCTGTGATTGAGGATATTGTATGGGGTTGTTATTGTGATTAATGATATTGCAAGTTGGGATTGATAATTGTTATGGAAGATTTTGATTAATAATATTGTATTTTGGGGGTTGTTCATTGTGGTTAAGGATACTCTATTCTCTGGCTATTTTTCTTGCATTCTTTTTTTTTTTTTTAAAAAGAAAGTTTTATTAAAAGAATCTCAAATTTCAAGAATCAAACAAACAGAAAAAACTGCTTTACAACAAAACAACCTCAGTGCATCACTACAGCATTCCACAACATAACAACTCAAAATCATAGCATCAAAGCATCAGTGTATCACATCAGCAATACAACAGAGTATTCCATCAGCTCATCTCCTAACACCCCACAATCAATCTTTATCATAAAAAACCATCACTTTTTTTGACCCTAGCAACTGGCAGACCAATTTGATCCTGCACAAGAGCACTCCTCACCTTAGCAGGCAATGCAACAACAGAAAAATCAGAAGTAAAGTCATCCTGATTTTTTATTGCATTCTGGTTTGCTGCCAAAGCCACCAAATCCACTTTGAAGACATACATGTTATACTATTTTTCTCCACTACCACCATCACTAAAAATACACATGCTATATCATCAAACCCACAAAGAATGTTTAAAATACCATTTCTATAAATGAAAATGAATCATTACATTACATACAACACTTGATCTAGTTACATCATTTTAGCATTAAAACAATAACCAAAATAAGTAATAGCGGGAACTTTATCGCTTCTTCATTTGCCTCAATACGTTGGAGTCGACTATGAATTCCATCAATCCTTTAATTGCTTAGGCCATTGTGAGTCGACTAGGAAAGTTGATTATCACTTCTCCACTTGCTCCCTAACTCGACGAAGTCATTCTACATCACTACAAAACATTAAGGGTTAACAAAGAAATTGACAATGATACAAGAAATTATTGAAAATTCAAAACCTAACAAAATTAAATATTATAGGAATCCTTTAAGAAAGTCAGATTCCTTGTGCAAAGAACATAGTGGAAAAAAAATTCACAACTTGTGAGAGCTACTCATAGTTCATCACCATGAAAATTCATATTTAAATTTATTTTCACTACCCGTTATGTACCCAAAAAAGTGCTTCAAAAACACTCAAGGACACCCCAACAACCACATCAAACAAAAAAATGTCGATATAACAAAATTCTACAACCCGACCTAGACACAAGCCAACAATCATAACAACAAAGAGAGGAAGCTTGCGGCCACCGACTTGATCCCATGAGTACAAAGAGAGCTTTTTTTTTGGGGTAAGTTGCAGTTAACTTTTTGTGCTGATGAGGTTTTGACTGTTGGAAGCCTTCAATTGAACCCTAGCAATAGCAAAATAAAAAATTGAGAAAATGACAAACCTACAAAGAATTCAGTGTGTGGGGGTTATAGAAGACCAAACCTTGTTGTCCGTTTGTGTAGAAGATTGAATCCAATTGTATATGTGTGTGTAGNTGTGGGGGTTATAGAAGACCAAACCTTGTTGTCCGTTTGTGTAGAAGATTGAATCCAATTGTATATGTGTGTGTAGAAAGGATGTAGTTGTCTGTGTGTGCAGAGGAGGAGGTGAATAGTTCACTGTGTTGAAGGATTTGGTAGGTATTGAAAAATTGGGATTTTTTTTACTGTTCGGGCTTTTTTATGGTAGAGTTGAGACTTTTTTAGTGAGACGACGCCGTTTAAAAAAACAGCACACAGTGCTATTCTTTGAGGAAGAGCAGACGAGCTGCACCCAAAAAATACATACTCAACTAATAGTAGTCAAAGTGGGTGTGTGTGTATAAGGCTCTTTGGAGCTTCCACTTTTAAGTGGAGGTTTCAAAGTGGTCTTGCCGTTTCGTTATCTAAAAAAAAAACCTAATAGTAGTCAAAGCCCACAATAGTTCAAATCAATAAAAGGAGCAGAAGTCTGGCAATACTTTCTCAGGCTCATGTCAAAAATCACCACATTTATCCAGAGTTGAACTCTCTAAACTATTCGCCTACTCCTACACTAATTACCAAAATGTTTCCTTTCTTCACCTGGTAAGTAATTACCTTAAGTATTTTATATTTGTAGACTAAAATGCCATTTTATGATTATAGCTCAAAATTAACTCCTACAACTGTTTCAAGCTTCCAAAAGCAACAACTATCAAGTAAAGAATCTTTCCGGCAGTAATAGCATTGTTTAGCTTTTTGGAACACCAAACTTTCAAGACATAAGAGTGTGCTTTGCACGGGTTTTCCCTAGTAAATATTAAAATAGGACAAGCTTAAAAATCCGAAGCATTAATCCCAAAATCTATATCTAGAGAATGCAAAATGCATTTGTCAAGGAAGCTAATGAGGTTGACTCCTTTTCACTGCCCATCAAAATACCCTTTCACTTCCAACTCTGGCATCATATTATAATTCTTTGCATCAATTCTATTTGTTTTTTTTTTTTTTCTAATAAAACTTTCCAACACCTCAATCGAATGTTTTACTCTAACCACACATGATGTCGCCACGAGGACCATAACAACGAATGAATGCAAGTGCCAACCATCATTTCAATGTTGAACTTTGGCTCTATCTCCCCAGGGCACTCTTTTGTGCAAGTAAATGAAGAAGAAGAGATAATTGCTAATAACATCACCTTGATAATAATACCAACTAATCAATCAATTCCACTATCTTCAGAAAAACAAGTTGAATTGCAACTATAAAAAACCGTGCAAGCAAAATCTAGTTAAAATAAAATACACAAATAATCATGTGAGTGAGCTTTTCTTTGTCATTGAATTTACTTTAAATCAATCATATATTGAAAAGCACAAAAGAATGCAATCCAATAGCCTAAAGGCGACCATGTATTNGCATCAATTCTATTTGTTTTTTTTTTTTTTTTTTTTCTAATAAAACTTTCCAACACCTCAATCAAATGTTTTACTCTAACCACACATGATGTCGCCACGAGGACCATAACAACGAATGAATGCAAGTGCCCAACCATCATTTCAATGTTGAACTTTGGCTCTATCTCCCCAGGGCACTCTTTTGTGCAAGTAAATCAAGAAGAAGAGATAATTGCTAATAACATCATCTTGATAATAATACCAACTAATCAATCAATTCCACTATCTTCAGAAAAACAAGTTGAATTGCAACTATAAAAAACCGTGCAAGCAAAATCTAGTTAAAATAAAATACACAAATAATCATGTGAGTGAGCTTTTCTTTGTCATTGAATTTACTTTAAATCAATCATATATTGAAAAGCATAAAAGAATGCAATCCAATAGCCTAAAGGCGACCATGTATTAGAAGAGTTTACTTTTAAGTCAATTGGCATTACACATGTTTAGTGGTTGGTGGGGGTGGTGGTGTGGTGAGATTTAGAAAGAGGAGAAATGTATTTTACGTTCTGAAAGATTTAAAATTTTTTATTTTATTAAAAATATAAAATAAAAATTTTAAAATCTTTTAGGATAAAAATGCGATTCTCTCTTTTAAAAAGCTTTAACTCTGACTTAAAAAAAGACTGGCGTAACGGCGTAAGAAAGTTACCCCGCCTTCTCAGTTCTCGAGACTCCCGCGCTTCATATTCCCTCTTCCCGTTGGCCACTACACTATTTTCTATCACTAGGGTTTCTCCACTCCCTCTCTGTCTCTGTCTCTCTCTGTGTGNGCGATTCTCTCTTTTAAAAAGCTTTAACTCTGACTTAAAAAAAGACTGGCGTAACGGCGTAAGAAAGTTACCCCGCCTTCTCAGTTCTCGAGACTCCCGCGCTTCATATTCCCTCTTCCCGTTGGCCACTACACTATTTTCTATCACTAGGGTTTCTCCACTCCCTCTCTGTCTCTGTCTCTGTCTCTGTCTCTCTGTCTCTCTGTCTCTGTCTGGAGATATTTTGTAATGATAGTCCATTCCACTGGTCTTCCTTTCCCAGCGACTCTCCAGAGAGATACCCCATCAGGTAAACCCTCACACCTCTTTCACAAAAGCGTGGCTTAAATAAAATATCATTTTTTTAATGGTGTTGTAAATATATAATGGGCAGGACATTAGGTTCTGCAAGGAATTCAGGTTTTTTTTTGCTTTATTTCTTCTCTGATCAATCGCCTACTGTAGTCTATTAGAAATTTATTGGTCTATATTTTGTTTTTATTTAGGTTATAATTAGGATTTTGCTTTTTGTCAAAAAGGGTTTTGCTCAGACAATGAGATACGAAGCTGAAAGAATGACTTCATCGTGGTTATTGCTGGGAATAAAAGAGGAAAAATAAAGGTTTGATTAATGTGACTGGTTAGTTTGGCGAGATAAAATGGGGATGCTTGATTTTGATGATTGTGATTTTGCTTATGATGAGATGCATGCACAGTTGAAGAGAAAACGATTTGATCTCACAAGTCCGGATCATAAAACTTCTTTTTTTGGTGGTATAGAGACAACTATGAAAGACAATGCATCGATGGAGTATGACGATGATTACGAGTGCTTTTTGAAGGTTTTATTAGAGGACAGTGAACCAGGACATTCTGGGAGGGAAGGGGAAGATGATGATGATGGTGATGATGATGATGATGATGATGATAAAGACCCTCAATATAAGATGTTTATGGAGAGAGTAAAGGAACATGGGAAGTCGTATATCCTTGAAGTCGCTGTACAGAATGGGGTGGCTGTGTTTATAAAGTATGAAGCGGAAGAAGGGTCAGATGACATCTGTGGCCCACAGGCTCGGAAAACATTGAGTAACATTGTGAAGGAGAAGATAGAAGCAGCTAAAAACTCAAATACTGTCCACAAGATGTATCAAGTTGAAAGTCCAAGAATCTTGAGGAGTTGTATGAGAAAAGAAAAGAGGAATGCAGTTTTTGAGAAGGATTTAAGTTCCAAATCTGAACCCCNCACAGGCTCGGAAAACATTGAGTAACATTGTGAAGGAGAAGATAGAAGCAGCTAAAACCTCAAATACTGTCCACAAGATGTATCAAGTTGAAAGCCCAAGAATCTTGAGGAGTTGTATGAGAAAAGAAAAGAGGAATGCAGTTTTTGAGAAGGATTTAAGTTCCAAATCTGAACCCTACCACAAGTCTGATATGGTAAGTTCAATGGAGGACTCTTATGAATTGTTCCTGAGTAGTGTGAAGACCAAAGGTGACCATCTAGTTCTTCAGTTTAAGAACTGTGAGCCGGTTACATACGAAAAGGATGATGTCGAAAATTCTTCTGATTCGCGGATTCTGAAGATGGACAATTCTCTATTTTGCGAAGACGGAAACGATACCCCCTTTGGAACTTCAAGAGGATTTGATGCATCTGTATGTATTATCTTGTCCCGTCTTTGCTCTTTTTTCATTGAATTTGTTGGGATGGTGTTTCCAATTATTTGTTCTTTGAAATTCCTCACATTGGTATGTGACGTTTGTCCTGGTAATAATGTTGTCTTGTGAATGTCAAGATGCTTGAAGATGACTGCAAGTTCCTTGGGAACCACTGTAGAAATGACCATTCTCAGTTTAGAGACAAGCTCATGGACATTCTTAGAAAGCCCTATGACAAGCATGAGTTTGATGAGCTTTGGCGAGATTTAAGGGCTAGACTGCCGATGGAACGCTCAAGGGTCTTACGTGGGAGGACAACATCATACTCAGCAGATAAATGCGGCAAATCTTATCTCGATCACCACAGTGGTAAGTTTAATAGCACACACAGGTCTTATTTGCATATTGCCTTGCCTTGAGCTAATATAAATGTGATTAAATCACCAATTTACGGATTGTCTGTTGCATAACATTACTTAATGCTTTCGTTAAGTTTACACCTTAGACATGCTGTGAAAAAATGTTTTGTTCTATGATTATACTTTCAACTGGACAATTCTATGGTCCTAGAGTCAACACTATGTAAAAAATTAGATGAAAATTCTGTCTATCCAATGCATTCCTTTCACTGCTAGTTATGTTTTTTCTTGTTTGTGGATGTACTGATCTTTTGTGAAGCAACTTGGATTTCTTGCTTCCTTGACATTCATGGTGTGAAATAGTTTTGCAATTTCTAATTTTCTTTTTTCTCATGGAACTTCTTTGTCGTACATTATGAATATCTAGAGTTTGAAATGCACTGGAATCAAATTTTAAAAAATTAGAACATAGGGCAACAGGATTACAATCACTTGTAAGCTCTCTAAACTACACAGGACTCACTGAAATATGGAATATTAAAAATTTCTTGTGCAGGGTTTGATAAATTCCTTTTAAAGTTTGACATTGACACGTAATTATCCAAACAGGGATGGCCACATTAGCCAAAGCCAATTTCCCAAATTCAAGTGCATGTTGTCATACCTTGTAAATTTGGATTATTCTAAATTTGACACGGAGAGAAGTTTGAAGCCAATGGACTGTCAGGATGAACTGAGAATCTGTAGTTTTGCTTGGGAAGAATCCCAAGATAAACTACTCCGACCGATCTAATACTATAAAGTCAGTATAAAGTGGTTATGTTGATCAAGATTGGCCTTTTTATTGAACTGATGAATTTTTCCCTCTCTTCCCACTTGCATGGGTTTCTAGAAGATGCAAAACTGCTCAGAGCATGTGTCCTACTTGATTACTGTAACATGCTAATTTTGTCTCCTGCCCCCTAAGGTTCCAGCTGATCAGCTCCATGTGGTTGGACCACAAAGCTGCTTGTCCTTCTTGTTACAACAGCCTCATCTATGATCTATCCCTTGCTGGTCTTTACCATTTTCAGCCTGTCCATCTGCCTACTTTCTGTTCTACAGTTGCTTGTTTGCGCATTACTTTCTTGAGTCACTTCTTCTTCTGGGTAGGATGGTATTGGCTTGTAAACGTAGGCCTATAAGGCCCACATAAATTCTTTGTGGGGCTGTTTTTATCAGCTGAAATAGGAAAGGTCAGCGTTTCCTCGTCTTATGGTCACTAAATTGCTGCTCAAACTGAGTAATCCATAAATTATTGTCACTTCCTGGCACATTATATGTGGGGATGGGATTAGTGATAGAAAAAAAACTTAGTGGTGTTTGCAGGAATGCTGAGTGAAGCTACCATGCGTGGAAAAATTCAAATGGGATAACATGTTTACATGAGTGCATAATGTGCTTTTGCCTTTGTGCATCGACATGATTGGCCCCCCTTTGCCCTATATGGTTAATTGGTGCTATGAAGCTCTCGATTTGCCTTTTAGCTTGCAAAGTCTGTTTGGCGATCCATCATCCTTTAGAAGCATCATTAACATTCTTAGATTCCTGATCTTGAAGCTTTTTGATTTGCTGAGTTGCTGTCTCGTGATTCACTAACTTAGTTATGGGATATGAGGGCAAGTCATTGAAGTTTTGTACACACCATTTAGCAGCAGTCTTTAAACCCTACATGAAGACACCTATTTTTTTTTGTCTTGTTATCATAAGCAATGACTGAATTTTGCACTGCTCATGTATTGATAGTGGAAATGACACAACACTGACTTTTTTCTCACCCTTCATTCATGGGGTGCATCCTAATGTAAACCCCAACATGTTACATGATCTATGCAAGGAGTTCTGAGGTCCAGTATTCCATGGAGATCTAGGAATTCTAATCGCTATGAAAGATCCGTTGAGCTTGGTTTCTATCAAGGAGTCCATTTATGGAGTCCAAGCTTTTGATGATTTATGAGTATTAGTTTTAACATATCTAGAGTCTCATTCCTCTGCAGTTGGATATAATATGACTTGGTGCCTATATGACAAGCTCAATTGTATACACGAGTGGATGTCTTGCTGTTAGAGTTTTGAATTTAGGCACATTTAGAGGGGCTGTTTCCCTCTAGATTCTGCGTATGAGAAGCTTCAGGCATAATACTTGCGCTAACTGAATCTAATAGAAATTCCACCTTTAGATTGGTTGAAGATCTTGCTGTGTACTACCTTATGATTTTGGTACCATTCTTACCAGTTGACCTACTGGAAGTGATATGGATTAGTCACATCCTTCTCTGTTGCTATCTTGTTCCTTCTGAGCTCTTCAGTTGATATCTTCCATGTGTTTATCTTTTGGTTTCAGTCTTACTGCATGATGGTTTGTCTCTTGTATTTTTTTCATTTCTATGTTATACCAGTTGTCAATTTTCTTAAGATAGCAAATTTCAGATTTTTGTTTCTTAAACATGCAGATCTCAAAAAGAAGATTAAGGCATTCCAACATGATCGCTCTAAATTGTTGAACATCTTTCGAGGATTTTTCTATTGGTTGACGGTGAGTTCTCCTCATGTGCATTCTTTCTTATATTTGTTTGAAATCATTATATTCAAAATTGTTTGTCTTTGGCTAGGCATTTGGATGTGCCAGCATAATACAAAATATGCTTAACCGAAAGGACATGGTCAGTTGTATAACTATAACTTTTGCATTCAAAGTTTGACTATATTTTATGTCATTTCAGTTGGTTATGACAATAATATTACAAAATTATTTGTTTGCAAATATTGTGCGAACACTGTGAGAGAGTATGTAAGTTTTTATTATAGGGATAAAAANTGTCATTTCAGTTGGTTATGACAATAATATTACAAAATTATTTGTTTGCAAATATTGGGCGAACACTGTGAGAGAGTATGTAAGTTTTTATTATAGGGATAAATTTTTTTTTGGGTAATCTAGGGTGTTTATGATTTTCTTGGGCTATATATTCTTGTAATCTTGTTTATTGACTTGAGAGAGAGTATCGTTTGCACCCAATGAAATTTTCATGGTATCAGAGCCTCCTCTCCTAGCAAATCGCAAACTCTAAAAGTCACATCCACCATCGCAATCTCTAAAGTCGCATCCACCATTGCACTCCTTTCTTGTCATCTGTTCACAATTACTGTTCATAGACACTGATCATTGATGTTCCTTATCGCTACTTTCCACCGACATTGTTCACGATTATTGTTCATCGACACCTTTCACGGCTATTGTTCATCGACACTGTTCACACGCGTTGTTGATCTCATTGTTGATAGTTAATATTTACATGTTGATCTCAGATGATAAGATTCAAACAATCAGTATTCATTTGAAGGGTGACAACTACTTGTACTGGTGTAATATGATGAATTTTTATTATTAGTTGAGGAAGATGGAGTTATGTTTATGGTTTTGAGAACTCATTGCTAAGGAGACTCAATTTAAGGTGGCTTATGTTGTCATTTCTTCTCATTCAGTGTTTGCTACCCCCATTGCACAACCTCTGTTGTTGTCTACTCCATCTGCACATTTCATACAAGTTACTAGAAAACTAAAATCATGCGTTGGCATTGATGAATGAAGCTTTTGTCGTTAGAAAGGATACTAGAAAGCTTCTTGTCCCAAATTTCAGAAATACTCAGCGGTCCTTCTCGCAGGCATCTGTTCGCCCTCCTGCTGCACTAACAACTTCTACATATAATCCTGCCACTGTTTCTCTTGGTACTGTCCAGTCAATGATCGAGCAGTTGTAGATTATGCTTACTACTTCCACTACACATCTGTCTCATGCCTCTACTATGTCTTCAATTCATTTAGATTTGATTGGTTCGCATACTTCCTGTATATGACGTTCTACTTGGATTTTTGATTTAGATTCCTCACATCATATGCCTCTTAATCGTTGTTCTTTTAGTAATTAGTAATTGTCTTTCCCTCTTCTCCTATAAATATTGTTACCGTTAATGGTTCTCGAATGCATGTTGTTTTTATTATATTCGTTTTTCCCTCTTTGTTCTCCTTTCTTTCTATCCCGAATGAATTTTTTTATGTTTCACAATTGTCTGCTAGTTTATTGTCAATTAGTCAACTCTATGATTCAGGATTTGATGTTGTGTTTTCTTCTTATGGTTGTGTTGTTTAGAATTGNAATGTCATGAGACATTTGATGAAAAAATTGAATGAGGTATATTGACCAAAAGTAGTAAGGCATTTCGATATGTTCATTAGGGAGATCGAGCTTATGGACCCTTATTTAGCTAATGGAATGTTCACGTGGTCCTATTTTAGAAGAAAGTAAGTTTGTAAAATGTTAGATAGGTTTTTTTACTCGGTTGGGTGGACGGATTGTTTTCCTGAGGTTAGGCAAGAGGTTTTAACGNAGTAAGTTTGTAAAATGTTAGATAGGTTTTTTTACTCGGTTGGGTGGACGGATTGTTTTCCTGAGGTTAGGCAAGAGGTTTTAACGATTCGGACCATTGTCCTATTGATCTGAAGGAGTCAAAGTTTAGGTGGGGTTCGTGTCCATTTATATGTGAGAGTATGTGGGTGGAGCATAGTGGATTTGGGGGCAAGATTTTGGAATGGTGGTCGGAATGTGAGGTGTAAGGATGAGAGGGATATAAGAGTATGAAAAAACTTGAGTGGATGAAGCAAAAATTGAAAATATGGAACAAAGAGTAGTTTGGGGATGCTCATGAAACCAAGAGGGTCATTCNTATGAAAAAACTTGAGTGGATGAAGCAAAAATTTAAAATATGGAACAAAGAGTAGTTTGGGGATGCTCATGAAACCAAGAGGGTCATTCTGGATAGGATTGATGATATTATTTTTCATAAGAAAGAAACGGATGGGGGAATTGATGATGTGGTGAGAAGGGATCTTAGAAATAGACTTGAGAAGGCGGTGTTTAAGGAAGAAATAAGTATGAGGCAAAAAACTAGAGTTAAGTGGATTATGGAAGGAGATAACAATTCTAAATTTTTTCATAGAGTGGCAACTGGTAGAGCAAAGAGGAAAATTAGTGATAAATTGGAGAAGAATAATGGTACGATAACTCTTCTAAGTTTATAATCAGGCTAATAGGATGGGTATCTGTAGTATCTCTCCCCTCACTCTTCTAAGTTTGAGAGAGAGGAGTTACCAATAAAGCATTAGCAAAACTATTTTGTGAATGGTTATACCTTCTTCATTGAATCTTTTGAAACTGACACAAGAANGGAGTTACCAATAAAGCATTAGCAAAACTATTTTGTGAATGGTTATACCTTCTTCATTGAATCTTTTGAAACTGACACAAGAAAAGACAAGAAAAGAAAAGTGAAGCATAATTAAGGCCCCGTTTTGTAACGATTTCGTTTTTNATAAAGCATTAGCAAAACTATTTTGTGAATGGTTATACCTTCTTCATTGAATCTTTTGAAACTGACACAAGAAAAGACAAGAAAAGAAAAGTGAAGCATAATTAAGGCCCCGTTTTGTAACGATTTCGGTTTTCGTTTTTCGTTTGATATTTAGAGAAAACAAGAAAAAAAATNCTATGATTCAGGATTTGATGTTGTGTTTTCTTCTTATGGTTGTGTTGTTTAGAATTGTAAGTCTAAGAAGTAGATTGGGACTGGGAGTAGAGCTGGTGACTTATAAATTCTAGAGCACTTGCATATTCCTCTGGATTTTGGTTCTCCCAAACTGTCTTCCTTTCGTTNTCGTTTGGTAACCGATTTTGTTTTTCGTTTCTGTCACCGTTTTGTAAACTAGGGCCGATTTTCAAAAACCAAAAAAAGACGTTTTTGGTTTTCGTTTTTCGTTTTTCAATGTTACCAAACGGGGCCTAANACCGTTTTGTAAACTAGGGCCGATTTTCAAAAACCAAAAAAAGACGTTTTTGGTTTTGGTTTTTCGTTTTTCAATGTTACCAAACAGGGCCTACNGAGTGTCTAAAGAGTTTAATTTCGTCTAGTATTTTAGTTCATGGAATCGTTTGGGGTGGTGAGGGTTTCTTCTGATGGTGATGGGTCCATGAAAATCTTGAAGCTCCCAATTTCAACTTCTTTATGTATTAAACCAGGTGGACGTTTTGATCAAATTCTGAATCTTGATAATAGTTGTGCCACTGTGAAACATGTTGTGAGATCTCAAAAGTTGTATCTACTAGGGCCATTGTGTGTTATGGGGATGACGAGAGTAAGATGGGTTTAGGGATAGTAGAGAATGAGAGTGACCTTTCGAAGTGCTTTGTGTCTAATAAAGAGAAGTGGATGGTTTTGAAGAAGTTCTTGGAAAAATTGGATTCGAATTTAGTTCCGGCAAAAAAGGTAAGTAAGAAGATGAGAGATGTGAGGAGTGTGAGGAAGAGCAAGAGGAAGAGTGTTAAAGAGTTAAAGAATTTTTAGTCAGGAATTAATTATGAAGCCTGGGAGCAGTTGGATTGGGGAGGGTGAGATGGTTTGTTATGAAGATTGTTAGTTGGAATATTAGAAGGTTAGGATCTTGGAGGAAAAGAGTTTCAATAAAGGATTTGCTGAATAGAGTGGGGCCAGAGATTGTTATATTGTTGGAGACTAGGATGAAAATTATTGATAGAAGAATTGTCAAGAGAGTGTGGGGAATGAGGTTTAGATTTATTTATTTATTTTTACTATCTATAGGCAGTTTGGGTGGGGTAGTCATTAATGAGGATGAGAGATCCATTGTTGTGGAGGACAATATTGAGGGTGATTTTTCCATCTCTCTTAAGATTAGGCATAAGAATGGGGATGATTGGTAGTTGATTGGGTTGTATGGCCCAAATACTCTGCTTAGATCACGATTATGGAAAGAATGGACAAGTCTGTTTGGGGGTGTGTAGCCCTTGATGGTGTATTGGGGGGATTTTAATGTCATGAGACATTTGATGAAAAAATTGAATGAGGTATATTGACCAAAAGTAGTAAGGCATTTCGATATGTTCATTAGGGAGATCGAGCTTATGGACCCTTATTTAGCTAATGGAATGTTCACGTGGTCCTATTTTAGAAGAAAGTAAGTTTGTAAAATGTTAGATAGGTTTTTTTACTCGGTTGGGTGGACGGATTGTTTTCCTGAGGTTAGGCAAGAGGTTTTAACGATTCGGACCATTGTCCTATTGATCTGAAGGAGTCAAAGTTTAGGTGGGGTTCGTGTCCATTTATATGTGAGAGTATGTGGGTGGAGCATAGTGGATTTGGGGGCAAGATTTTGGAATGGTGGTCAGAATGTGAGGTGTAAGGATGAGAGGGATATAAGAGTATGAAAAAACTTGAGTGGATGAAGCAAAAATTGAAAATATGGAACAAAGAGTAGTTTGGGGATGCTCATGAAACCAAGAGGGTCATTCTGGATAGGATTGATGATATTATTTTTCATAAGAAAGAAACGGATGGGGGAATTGATGATGTGGTGAGAAGGGATCTTAGAAATAGACTTGAGAAGGCGGTGTTTAAGGAAGAAATAAGTATGAGGCAAAAAACTAGAGTTAAGTGGATTATGGAAGGAGATAACAATTCTAAATTTTTTCATAGAGTGGCAACTGGTAGAGCAAAGAGGAAAATTAGTGATAAATTGGAGAAGAATAATGGTACGATAACTCTTCTAAGTTTATAATCAGGCTAATAGGATGGGTATCTGTAGTATCTCTCCCCTCACTCTTCTAAGTTTGAGAGAGAGGAGTTACCAATA